CTTAACAACCAGCAAAAAGTAGAAAACTCACAGGTCTTACACTGTTGCTGCATGAAGCAATGGACCGGCAGCTTACATCGCACCATATGAAGCTCTATTGCCTCCTTTTGGAAATAAATGGAAGTTCCTGAGGAAATCATTTCAGTCAGACAGTTTGCAGTTTGTTTAATTCCTTATGGCATTTAGACATATTTTAAACGTTTTTTTAATATCTAAAATTTAAACACAAAGATTATTCTTTAAGGACCATATATTATGAGTGAATGCAACATAAATATATTTTTTCTTTTGTCTTTTAAATTAAATTTGTTCGTTTATTTGCTCAAAAATATCCTGTTCCTTAACTGAAAAATATCCATTAAAAAATCTACATGAAAAGAACAAAGTAAGAAAACTGACATCTTACCTGAAATGGTCTGGTTAAGACTGCATAAATATTAATCATCATCGTCCATAATTTGTAGAAACAGAAGTTTCACTTGAAAGATTCAGACCTCTTCATTTTCACATTCTGCATGCAAAATAAACAAGCAAAGACTATAATATCAACACTGAAAAGCAAACGTTATTCCGGTGAGACGTCTGTAGGAGAGCCACGGGCTCAGTGTCTTTACACCCTGTGTGTGTGTGTGCTTCTTTCACTCCACATATAGGCTACGTGCCTTTGCCATCGGCATTATACTAATATATGTCTTGTCTTCAAGAAGGCACTTCCCTTTTTTCTCTCTTTTTGACTGGAACTGAAATCAATGGTCACGCAATTACAGAATGTGGATTTGTCAACTGACTTCTGGCTGTTAAAGTGCGTGTGGGGAGCACTATACAAATACCCAATAAGGAGTTCAATAAGAGCAGTAACACTGCTGATTGCCAACTACGGTCCCATCAAAACCAGACGGCCAGTTTCAGGTGTTTTATTCTGTCGAGAGGCAATACTGCATATTGGCAAAGAACATCGATGTTCACTCAAACGTCTCAAGGCGGTCTATTGACTCTCCACCAGGGAGCAGAGTCAACCATTTGGAAGTTATAGCTCCTTTCAAACAGTTTTAAGGTAGAACAAACGTTCAGAGCTGGAAAGTGCTGTCTCGAGAGGCTCCGTCACCGATAATTAGTGATCAATCACGAATTAGTTTAAAAGCTTGAAAAGAACACTGAGAGCATTATTAGATTGCAGAGATTCACTGCTCTCCAATAATGACTTGGATTTTTAGAGGAATGAAACCCCTGCAATCGTTTGTCAGTCTCCTCTATAGCCAATCAGGTCCATTAATCAGGGGAAGGTCCAACCGGTCCATATCTGAAAGAGCGCAGGTGCCAAACAGAAAGGAAGAGGGGGAAAAAGGCTGCTTTACAGCTTGTGTAATTAAAGGACGTTAACACAGATGGAGCCGACTGCTTCAGGTTCATCACTATGTGGTAAGTATGTTTTAAGTATTTAATAATAACTAAGTCTTAAAATGCTAATTATGTTAATTCAGCCACTGAGATCTAAACTGAAAGGTATTTGCTTAAAATTGCACTCATCTATCAGATGTAAGATACTTCTATGTCTGGAGTTTGCTGAAACCACTCCCTCCCGTGAGCATCTCTAACAGTAGCGGACCTGAACTGACCGGCTCTCTGTAATTGAACAAATGCATCAATGCTGCATTTGTTCAATCTAATTTCAGGATGCTGCTACTAGGGCATCTTTATCGAAGAGAACAAATATGTCTAATAGATCAGATTAGCCCACAAATCACAGGTCAAAGGAAGAAGCCATATCACAATATACCTGAGGTTAAACCAGGACATTAAAGATTTAATATTGTTGTCCTTTAGAAACCTGACCAAGGGCGTTTATCGTGGTGGCAATTGGGCCTTAATGATTCAGTCGGAAGCTAAAACTAAATAATAATAATAATAAATCAAACAGTTATAGTTTATATACTTCAGTTTCAGTTAATAACTGTCAACATTATTATATACTTGGATATTTTATCATTTGTTATTACTCACATTGTTTTGTAACTATCCTCTACTATTAATTGACTTCGGCAAACTGACTGTAAAAAGGGAAGGGTTAATTGGCAACACTTATGGTGATGTACTTGATAAAGGCGCTTACTCCGCGAAGCAATTGACAGAAATAATATTTTCAATCGACTTGTTTCGCGCCATAACACGTCACCTGCAGGCGCGAAACCAGCTGACTGCAAATGAGATACCTTACAAAGCAAGGCGTGAGACACTTCCCTGTCTTCTCAAAACTTTCATCTCCAGATCAACGAGATAATGGAAGCTCTCTAACAAAGAGCCGATTTTCTTAATGCACCCTGGCCCAAATTGGCACTGGACGTAATTTAATAAAACAATTAAATTAGCTTTGAGTAATGGCCAAAAGCAAATGAATTAACGTTACTACTCCTCGTACCTGTTATGGCGCTCTTTTTTAATGATGATATCTCGAGTCTGCAGTATTTTTCTTTTCAGCCATGAGGATTGAGGGGTTGTTGTTGCACTGCCCATGCTAGAGTTGAGGCGCTGTCTGTCTCTCTCACCCGCTGAGGTAATAAAGGTGATACCTTTAATCAGTCGTTCGAATCATTTCCGCCAATCGGTTCTTTCGGACATTGCTATAAAGCCATTTCTAGGAACATATTGCTGTTTATTGTGTGTTTTTAAGCAGGTTATGAGGGTGTTGATTGTACTTTCGTGTAACCTATCCCCAACCATATGCGTCAATTCAAACATTCAACTCAAATTCGTTTAGGGATCTCTACAGGTTATCATTCCAAAGTCCCTTTGTAGCTATATAATTTGATCATTCTCTCTCGAAAAAAAAAAACAAGTCACTAATAATAACAACAAAAAGGCAGCTGATTCAAATTTGAAACAAATGTGTTTAAAAACACTCAAACGATTGACCTTTTTCACGTAGGCTATCATATTATTATTATTAGTCGAAGAATTTTACAGAATGAGTTGAGTTGTCGCTTTGAAATATGGTAACTTTATATTTGACTGAATGAGTTTGATTTGAATTAGTCAGTGATTGTCGATAGCCTACTGCTAAATGGAGCCTTTCAGCTAGTCAAAAGGCCTACAGTAGAACTCAATCAATAGTTTTAATATAGGCATCCTATAGGCTAATAAACAGTTTTATTTAGGGAAAAAGAAGCCCACTGTTTCTGTATTTAATTTTGTGATTACCAATGCTCAAACTGGTCGCACAAACAGATAATTATGACGTCTCTGTCTCACGTCACGTAGTACATTAAACATCAAATTATGATTGACTGTTATTGTGCCGTGTCACACTGCATTTTCACATTTTAGTGTCAGTGTTGACAAAAAGCTTATTACCGCCGGAAACTTACCGTGATTCTTCTGGTTGAGATGGTGTAAAAAAAAAAAAAACTGAAGTGTGAAATACCTATTTGCAACAATTAACCCTTTCACATTTCTGGGTTTCTCAGAAGCGGAAGTCCTCATAGTTGGGTTAAAGGAGAACTCCGGCGCAAAATGAACCTTTGGTCTAATTACACATTACACGTTCGTAGATCGACTGGTAAAGACTGTATTTCAAAGATGGCTTCTGCCTGTATACGCGAAGTTGACTGTATGTTTAAAATATCTTCTTATTAAACTGTCTGGACACTGACAAAGTTCTCAATGCTTCGGTTTGAAGGTAGGGACCCTCATTATGCTACCGTGTTAGTGTGGGGCTATTTTGAGCCTTGTTAGTGGTATTAACAAGCGATTTTTATTTGTCATTACACCATGCCCAATATACTAGCGTTATATTAGCTTTATAGGCTAAACTGTTTTTAGAGATAAAACTATTTACATTCGATAATCATGAAAACAAATCTCAGATAACGGTTGACTAGGTAACAATGTGTAATTAGACCAAAGGTTCATTTTGCGCCGGAGTTCTCCTTTAACTTCTATAGCGGTAATCGAGAGAAAACATTAAATCTATTTTTTTGTGTTCTCATTTGCTCAAATAGCTAAAGAAAAAATTGACAATAGTGTTTTCACAACTTTCAAAAAGAGGGAAAAAATAGAGAAAGATTGAACTATTCAGAAGAGAGACATAGCAATTTTATCGTAACTCCCACAGCCGCTGTATTATAAACACCCTCACAGGAGCGTTAACTAGCTTTTTTTTAAATTTGATGGAAAGGTAATATAATACAAATTATAGTGTTATAAATGTACATACATTAAAAAAATTAAAATATACTTTTATATTAAATATACTAAAAAAATATAAAAAAAAACTTTCTAGGATTTACGATGCTGATGACCATTAAAACTGTGTGTGAAAAGGGTTATTGGTTTCAAACAGGTTTCCAGAACATTCCCCCTTGTCTATTATTGGTCGAAAAATTGACAGCCTCGCCCCAACTCATGCAGTTGGTTGAGCAATGCTGCAGTCTCCGGCTGCTCAAACAGTGACAGAGCCAAAGAGCGAAGAGGAAAATCAACCTGCAAATAACTTTATATTTATCTGATCATATTATTCTGAGAAGGGACAGGAACCATTTTTAAGATTAATTACAATATGAATTATTTGTTTTAAAAATTACACACTTCAGCTTTAATGTAAAGATATTACAAATGCATCTGATATCCATTCAGCTATGCTAAAACAAATATTACACTTTTTATGCATTCAAGTTACATTTGCAAGAGAAATAATTGAGACATGGCTGCCTTTAAGCTCTTGCAGAATTGTACATATTTGCATGGCAGGACATGATCTTTAATCTTTATAATAAGTGCTGCATTATGCCACTGTGCATTTTGACCAGTTAAAGTGATAGCCAATGCCCTGAGAAAGCCTCTTTAAAGGCTCAGTAAACACTACCACAAATGTTAATTTTTCAGTGGAGTCTCCTCTGTCCACCTGCAAACAAAAGCTCTGCCTATCAATATCTTATTTGCATAACTTAAAGACGTGACAGATTAGATCGGTTTAAAAAATATTCTCAGTTGTGTGCTTCCAGTGCAGGTAGCATTTCAGTCTCTTGTGGAATGACCCTGCAGATAAGATCATTCTTGCTGTAAGGTCTCTCTCCAGCTGAAGCTGTGGTTGGGCCCATGAGTTAAAGGAAGAATTGGTGGATCCACGAGCTGCCAGACTCCCGAGTCCCCCTGCTCCTCACAGGCACAGAGACCCAGGTATGGAATCTAGATGGAAAGATCGACTTCCATAAAGCATCACTTTTTAAAGTATAAAATTCAAATGTTTAAAGTAAAAGGGTGAAAAACGAACCTTTCGGACTACTTGCACAAAATCTTTAGGGTTCTGGGGAGAAAGACCCTGGATCTGACGAGTGCAGGCCTCCAAAGAGGAAGCATGTCCCACAAACAGAATATTTTTTCCTGATATAAAAAAAAAAAAAAAAGGGGGTTATTATTAGTAAAGAACAAGTGTGCCGCACACGTCCTGAAAAGTGAAGCCAAAACATTTTGATCGCCCCCTGGTGGCTGGCTGCAGTATAGGTCATAAACCCCACCCTCTCCATGTAATCGAATAGGGCACAAGTCCAACTTAAAAAATCCACACCAAAAAAATCCAATTTCACTTCAAATAATTTTTTTATTTTGTCATTTTCGGTACTGTAGTTCTTATCACACAGTTGTATGTTCAAGTGTTTTTCCAAAACTTTGGTTTTAGTTATTTGATGCGATAAAAACATAAAAATTGACAGCTGTGCTTGCTTGAGCAGGAAAATGGGCGGGACCTTGATAACGCGTCTCCACCAAGGGGGTAATCCATCGACCGGAAGTTGAAGCCGGCCGGGTGCCGCCATCTTGTAGCAGAACTTCTCTTGCGTTAGCATTTCCATTGACTCCCATTCATTTTGGCGTCACTTTGACAGCGAATAACTTTACATCTGAGGCGTTTAAAGACTCCATTTGTCCATTATTTATTTCTAAAGAAACACGACAATGTATACAGAGCTCCATTACCTTCTATGTTACATTATGGCCCCGTAGAAACAGATATTGTAAAAAAAGGGCTAACGATTGCGTCATAACCACTCGACTCTGTCGCGCTGTACAGAAATGACCGTACAGACAGGAGGAGAAGCTCGCAGGCAATCGGGGGGACGTCCCGTCAAGGGAGAAGCCCATAAATAATGAGTCCATAAAAGCAACGGAATACTTACTCCTGCTCCCGCACGCCAAAGAACTTTTTGCTCAAGTTCCCCGTCTCTGCAAGATTAACATTGGCAATTTTCACGCACAGCTACTAGAAGATTCACGTCTGTCAGACAGGTTGCTCACGTCATCAAGCTTAGTTTGAGTCGGTTTGAGTCTGCGCGTCAGGAACGGAAGTGCTCAAAAATCGCTAAAAATGGGCTTCAACTGTCTCAACTGAGTTCCAATGAGATGGCTCTGTCCACTTCTTATACTGTCTATGGTCTCCACCTCAGGATCACTACTACGCAGAATCGGGCTCCGAAGGACGTAATCGGCAACAACCATTTCAAGTTTTTTCTACAGTGGAGGGAAGTGGTGGAGACGCGTCGTCCAGCTTTTTTTTTTACAGTCTATGGTAAAGATATGTGAGGCAGAATACATACATACAGACGGCATTCATAGTCAAGTAAAAGCAGCATTTTGATCACTCACCCTTATTTTTGCAGTATGCCAAAATGTCTTTGGTCACCTGGTGGCTCCGACTTATGTACGTGTCATACGCCTCCGAGACGGTTAGCTTGCTAACGGGGATGTGGGGTCTGAGGAAAGGCAGCTGTTGATTAGGACTGAATTTGAAATGTAAATAGCTCCTACATAGGCCACAGTACATGATCACTCCAGTTGTTACCTGTACGTTGTGTCTACATTAAGATTGGCCGCAGCAAGATCTGTGGGGGGTATCCAAGCAGGCAAAGATGTCCCTGACACCCATTTAGTCCACTCAAAAAGCCCAGGCTCAACTCGAATGCTTATTGTGCCATCTTGCTGCATTCCTAAAGTAGTACACGACACATGTCACAGAGTTTTTAAATATAACATTTTTAATTCAATGTCAATAAGGATGTAGCACAACAGTGTCATTCTTTCACATTTATTATGATATTATAAGTACAAATCTAATACAATTGTGATTCTCTAAAACAGGGGTTTTCAAATTGGGGTCCAGGGACTCCCAGGGAGCCACAAGGAAATTCTAACTATCTATTGGTGGGTGGAAGAAAAGTGCAACTTAATAGAACTAAATATACATAAATAGATCGAAATATTCAATTAATATCCATTAAATATTCCAGCTAATATTTTTCACAGTCTGTAAGACTTTTTAATGTTCTAAAAGAAGTCTCTTATGCTCAACAAGGCTGCATTAATTTGATTAAAAATACAGTAAAACAGTAATATTGTGAAACATTATTACAATTTCAAATAACTGTTTTCTGTTTGAATATATTTTAAAATGTAATTTATTCCTGTGATGGAAAAGCTTTCAGCAGCCTTCAGTGTCACATGACCATTCAGAAATTATTATAATATTCTTATTTGCTGCTCAAGAAACATTTCTTATAATTATCAATATTGAAACCCGTTGTACTGCTTAATATTTTTGTGGAAACCAAGATGCCAATGATTTGTTACATTATTCATGTATTTAGTCACTGTTGATCAATTAATAAAAAATACAGTATATTTTTCTCAGTATTAATTCTCATTCATATCGTTAACAAGATATAAGAGTGTGATTCTTCCAAATGTATGTCATTTAAAACTATTCCCTAATGGCAAATTCTACCCTTCTTTATATCATGTTGGCATTCTTATCCATTACACCACTGCTGCCTCCATATTCCTGACTGCAGTACGTACCTCTGAGAATTTCATGAGCTGTCTGGACACATCGGAGGCTGGGCGAGCAGTACACAAAATCAATACTGGTATTACTTTCCAGCAGAGCCTCACCTGGAAATCAGACAGATGACATAAAAAGAGCATGATGGACAATTCAGTTGGTGAAATTGCATGTATGGACATTAAAACACTGAGCAGACATACCCACTGTCTTAGCCTGTGTAGATCCAACCACTGTGATAGGAGCATCCATTTCATAGTCCCTGTGCGCTCCACCCCAGGCGGGCAGTGCAGCAGGCATATTCAGGTTCCTCCTTACATACCTGCCTACAGGAAGACAAACTGAGCTGGCAAACTAACAGCACCATGTGAGCGAGGCGCCACGACCCGTCCGTTCAGATTACCTTTGGAGTCAGAACACTGTGAGAACCAGTGTTTCCCAAACACAACATCCATTCTCTCTCCATGCCGACATACAAACAGGGTCCTTTTAGGGGTCCGAGACTGCATGTTGGAGCGAAGCACCTACCACCAACAGCACAAATGCATTAATAAATTACTCAAATCGTTAGTAACTGCACAAGCCCTACGTTTATTTTGAACTCAAAATATAGTTTTTTGTTGTACTCATAAATTATTAGGCACCTGCATTGGTTGGCAAATAACACTCAAGATGGCAGACTCCCCCAGCTTTGAGTTTTCAAAGCATCGAAGGTTGAGCAGCCCATCCAATGCTTTGCTCTCTTTGGAACACTTTTCCGAAGGAGAAGTACAAAAGAAGGAGTGTGATCTGTTCAAGGAGCATGAGAAGAGTTAAACGCACTGCAAACCATTGTCTTTGGCAACATTTAACACTCAGTCAGACTGAAAATGAGATTACATTTTTACATTAATGCATTAATGTTATATGGTTGAACTAGGTTTTCTAAGGGTTATGTTGGTTTACACGACAACCCTGTACTAAAAACAGAAATTTTTTCGTGTATAGATGACAACATTGTCAAACAATCCCATTCACATGGATCTGCAAAAAACGACTAAAACCGTTGTATTCTGCATGCCAGGCCAGTAGTTGGTTAGTTGGTCAGTTGTTGGTCACTTTGTTAAGAAACACTTCACACGTATAGACTGAACTCGTAATACACATGCGCATGATGTCACAGTTTCAATGAATCGCATTTTTGTAGTTTACACAGAGACAATAATAGTATCGTTTTCAAAAACTTGCACACTTTAAATCCCGTTTTTAAAAGTTTGCGTTTTCAGGCCCCCAAAAGTGTAAATGAACCTAAAAAAAAAAAAAAAGCATAAAAAGTTTTCTGTTTTTAGTTGAAAACTGTCATGTAAATGGCCGCTTAGTTTGCCAAGAAGTTTCTGACATGTTTCTATGTATTTGCTATGAATTTTGGGCTTTGTTCAAATGCCTAAAGGGATAGTTCACTCATAAATGAAAATTCAGACATCATTTATTCACCCTCATGTCGTTCAAAACTTGTATGATTTTCTGTCTTCTGTGGAACACTCACAAAAAATTTACATTGGTGTCCAAACAACATTGGGCCCCAATGACTTCCATTGTATGGATAAAAAAAACAACCCACAGAGACATTTCTCAAAGTATCTTCTTTTGTCTTCCACAGAAGAAAGAAAGTCATATAGTGTAGGGATGATATGAGGATGGCTGCATCCAAAATTGCATACTTCCTTAATATATAATAGGTGGGAAAAAAGCACTATGTCCAAATTCACAGTATTTCAAAAACAGTAGGTGAAAAGTACCCGGATGACCTACTACTTCTGTCGAGATTCCGAAGTGCGCATCCAATGGACACTTTACTATCCCATGAGGCCACGGGAGAGGATTTCTGAATGGCAGCGAAATGACGCAACTGACGCTGGTAGGACAATGAAAACATGGCGAATGTAGTATGTCTGGATAACATTCATACTACACACATTCATACTATTGTGAGATTTATTTTGTGTGAATATTTAGTATTATATAAATTGGGTAATTTATTTTGGTGTTCATGGGTGATGCAATTGTGACATTATGGAATATGGATAGGTATGGGGAATTGGCAAGCTGACATGCGCAGTTATTGTTATATGTGAAAAGGGACATGGACATGTATGTATGACGAAAAAAAAGAATACCGTAGTATAGAGAGCACGTAGGTGAAGCGAGCGTTACTGCAGTGTGTTGTCTCCATATATGAGCTCTGACAAATAAAAGTAGCCAGTAAAGTTCCAAATTTCCTTGTATGCCTGCATTAATTCGTTGGACCCATTTACCAGAGACTGGAGCTTCCTCTTATATACACTATATAGAACATACTTGTTTAATGGATGCAAACAAAGTGATTTCTTATTCAAAAGATGTACCTACTCGGGAAGTATGCGATTTCGGATGCATCCGGTGAGTATGTTTTAGGTGAACTTTCCCTTGAGCCTCAAGCAATGTGAAAGAGTCTTGCTGAGAACTGATCATAGCATTTGGAGAACTTACCCGTGGAAAACCCACGTGTCAGACTCATCAGCAGGGCTCACATAATTCTCCGGCAGCAGTGCAGAGATGCCTGTTCCCAGAGACGTGCCGTGCACCCAGCCCTCACTGGTACTCATTTGCTCCACTGTAGATGAGAAGATAAAGTCTCCTGGCACCAGTTCCAGCTCATCGTCATTCTGAGGAGTGTAGGGGTACATCACTCGCAAAGTCTGACAGTGAAACACAGGTTAGTGTGCATTAAAGTGGATTTGCATGAACTAGTAAAACAATAAAATTGCATGAATGACACTAATAGTAGGACATTGGCTCAATTGGGCCTCACCTCGTGATTCGCAAATCGTATGTCCCGTGAAAAGAGGGCAGCTAGCCAGTCACAACCCAGCTTTACCTCAATCCCTCTTGCCAACTTTTCCAAGGAAGAAAAATGATTGGTTGGGAAGTGATAGGCTAGAGTCAAATGAAGCTGCTTTTTATGTGGTTCCACATGGACATCTATGAAATAAATAAATAAATAGATAGTGTCATGAGCATTTTTATGAATTTATAATCATTCTTTATTCAAATACCCTTTTTGATTAATGAATCAGCATCAGTTATTTAAATAGATATTTTAAAACATAAATCATTCATAATAGTTCTTTTAAACAGAAAATTCTGTCATCATTCACTCTCATGTCTTTGAAGTCATGTCTTTCAGTAAAGCAAAAAAGCTGAATGTTTTTGCTGCTCTTGTCCATATATTGAAAGCATATAATGTCCATGGGTGGTCAAGCTCCAAAAAGGAAAAAATAAGCATCATAAAACCATAAAAAAAGAAATCCATACATCTTATTAGCTTATCCTATATTATATTATGTGCATTATATGAGTTTTCTGAAGCAATATGATAGATTTGAGTCAGGGAAAGAACATTATTTTATTTTTGCTTATAGTATTTATTATATTTTTAATTAGCTTTTTTGTAATATTTAAACTTTTATCTAAATCTAATTTTGGTAAGTGCTTTTGTCACTTTTTTTTGTTTTTGTTTTAAATCTACTTATCTTTAGTAATTGTTTTACAGTTTTAGTAAGTTTAGTATTTCAAATTCTTCTTCTAATATTTCTAATTCATTTCAACTTTATTTCAATTAACAAAAATTATTTTTATTAGTTTTAGTGGTAATTCTACAATAAGGTCCAGTTAGTTAACATTAATAAATGCATTAACTAACATCAACTGACAATGAGCAAAACATTTGTAACAGTATTTATTATTCTTTGTTAATGTTAGTTAATAAAAATACAAGCTGTTCATTGTAAGTTAATGTTAGCTCAGGTCCATTAAATAATATTAACAGATACATCTTTTTGATTTGAATAAAGTATGAGTAAAAGTTGAATTTAGCATCAAATAAGATTAATGCATACTTTCGTTGTATTTTTCATTGTTAGTTGAAGTTAACAATAAATTAACTAATGTTAAGAAATGAAACCATCTTGCAAAGTGTTACCATTTTAGTTAACAGTAACAACTCTCATTCGCTGATAATTAAATCTTTAAAAATGCATAAAAAGCCCCAAAAATTTACTTTGTTTTTTTTTAAATGCCCTGCTTTCATTTTATTGATAAAAGCAGCTCGGACATTCTGCCAAATTTCAACATTTATGTTCCAAGTAAGAAAGAAAGTAATACGGGTTTTGGAACGACATGAGGATGAGTAATGAGCCGATAAAAAAAAAAAAAACGTGAGCACTATCCAGGCACCATCTGTGACAAATGCTCTGATCACGCCTCCCCACCAGCTTTAGTGGCAGCCTCCACAGCAAAGTCAGCCGCAAACTTCTTCAGTGTCTCAGCCACCTGCTCCTCCACAAAGAGGCCAATGAAGTTGGTGGAGGTGTAGAGCTCCAGGGGCAAAGGGCTGGGGAAGCGTCCTCTCCACTGATTCACTGTAGACTGCAGAGCTTCACACAGAGCCACTAGTTTATTGTCTGGACACTGTAAACACATAAAATGAAGAAATGTAAAAAAAAAAATCCACAGCATAATTAGAATAGATCAAGACTAAAATAGAAATTGTGACTCACCATAAAGAACTGGCAGAGTGTGATGTGTGGAAATATGTTGTGAGCTTTGTTCTTTCCACAAGTCAAGCGAGACTGCTGCCAAAAATGGGAAAGCTGGTTTTGTAAAGGCCCACTGGGGCGCAGGTAGAGCACATACTCTCTGGGTAAAGGGTCGTCCAGGAAAGGGTCATCCAAATGTGAGAAAAGCCTAAGGAGACACATGCACATGATCATAAATTCTAAAAGCATAGCTAAACCAGCATATAAAGTATGTGTAATTGTAACTGTCAACCAATTATTCTGCTTGTTTTATGTATAGAACAGCTGGATTGATGCAAATGAAGCACTAGAGGGCAGTACAATTCCTTTAGACAGAGGGCTTCAACCGTGCTCCTGGGGAACCAATGTAAAAAAGCATAACGCCTGCTAAAGCGGTGGTACACAGGGAAGGAGAACAGAGGCTGGATTTTTTTTAAAGGGTGTCAATGGAGGAGAGGCTTCACTACGCTGAATAAACCGCTTTTGTGGGAAAACGGCTCATCATTTAATGAATCGACAGCCAATCGGCTAATCTTCAACATATTTGCTCTTAAACATTAGTTTTGGATAGTTTACACCGAAAAAAAAATCCAGTTTTATAAAAGAAGTCATGGACATTTGGTGACAGGTATGATTCAGTTTACGGCACTTCTCATTCATTTCTATGGTATCTGCAAACAGTGATTGACTGTCGCACAACTCTGAACGAAATTCAATGACGTCAAGGCTGTAATGTGATTGGTTATCAAGGCACACATTATTTTTCATAAGTGTGCAGTGTCATAACTACATCTCTGACGTTTATAACAAACCAAACCGTTTGAAAATCGGTAGAAAATTGAGCAAGTTATGGTTATTTAAAAAGTACATGCACCATTTAACACAATGTTACGAGTGAGTTAGCTGCCTGTGACAAGATGGCCGCCAGGTGCAGACGTCGACCTCCATTGGCCAGCAGCGCGGACGAGACATCTAGCCTTTATTATGGATATCTATGCTCGTATCTCCCAATAATAAGACCACCGCTGCGTTCCAATTCACCTACTTATACCAAAGCCCGTCTACGGAAAGCCTTGGCACTTCCTATTAGCCCCATTGTGTATCATCTTGGTTGCAGTTCCATTAGAAATTCCACTGGAGGTGATCGCGGGCGAGTGCAGAATGAATGGGAGTCTATGGGGCTAGACGGCTAAATGTATCTCTTTCTCCTGCTTGTCGTTGAATCAACATAGATTTTGTCGTTGAATCAACATAGATTTTATTGTTGATTCCACAAGTTCAATATAGATTATAGACCAAAAGTCGAATAAATGAGTACTTATGTCTATTCGATTTCTTACAGGTTGGGCCGTTGTTGGCCGGAACACGCTAGCATTCTGCTATTATGTGACGTCATCACATTTTTGAACGGATTTTTAGCACAGATAAGTGAACTTAAAAATGCAGTTTTCAGCTGAGTGTATTATCTTAGTCCCCCCTTTTGAATGCAACTTTCAGATTACTTGACAAAAAATTACATCCTGAGAAAAGTGGATTTCTGGGGGTGAAACCCCATAGACTCCCATTCAGTCTGCACTCGCCCGCGAGCGGCCCCGCATGGACAGAGACGTGTTACTGCAGCCAGTTCAGAACCCGGAAGTAACCAGAGAGTGCCAGTTCTCTCCTATTAGACATTCTCTGCTTATACTATGCCCTAAAAGTATGTACTGTTTTTGTAAAGAAAAAGTACATACTTTTGAGTGTACTAGAATACTAGGCAAGCTTTGGGACATACTACTTCGTCATAGCGTTTAAAATGCCGTCAATCATCTTGTCACAGTTAAATCTGCAGTCCGTATCTTTTCCTCTTTGTCGCCATCTCTCTGTTCGAAATCTGTAACTGCAGTGATTCGCGGAATTATCATCTTTACGCGGGTTGTAAATCGGCATGAAACAGCGCGGATGAACACAGTGCTTTGAGGCGAGTGCTGCTGTCAGTCACCGCGCTGTGTGGATACTGTCATTCAGAATCACAGATTCACTTTTTGAAAGTTTGACCAACATAAGAATTTTCCTAAGAAAATGTCTTCTGAACAAGTAAGTAAAATCCATTTTTGTTCTGACCAACTAAGGGGGAAAAAGCATTCGACATGATAAGCTTCGTTAGATTTAATCAACGCGATTTACAGCAACCGTGCAAATTATAGCCTACTTTGTTCTCAAATTGCTCATGTTAACAACATCAGCATTGCGTGACTAATGTTAAATGTAATGTGTTTTATGGTTACCTGCGTAGTTCAGAATTCATATTCTCCATAATAGCAAAACGAGAAAGGCACAACAAAGGAAACTCCATAACTGTGTGAATTAAGAAAACGTACTGTAACACGATTGAACTATTGAAATGTCTTACTTGTTCAGCAGAAAAAAGCTGTCTCTTCTTCCGTTTCGAACCCCTTCAAAACACGGAGTTCACGCACTTTTCAAAAGCCCCGCCGATGTTTAAATCCTTGTGTTCGCATGAGACGGTTTCTTTCTCTTTCTCTAGCCACCTTAAATCCGAAGTACGAAGTCTTTTGGGTTTTATAACTGCTGAATCTCCAGTTGACACTGATGATTGTTGTCTGGATCTTTCTGGGTGCCATAAGTTTAATCATGTAAAGTGCTGCGAGAAAAGCCTATACATCTAAACATCTCGTCACGCGCAGTATAGCCGGCTAGCCGAAACTCCTTCTTTATGTGTACAGATGTGACGTCATGACGCAAAGACATGCTCGAATTTCCCGCGGAAACCCACCAGTACCACTGGAATTAAAATCATTATTACAAGCTAACCGTTTTGAATCTAGCTATGGCAAGCAGATAGTTTTGACCACTGGCAGAATAAGTTTTTTTTAATATAATTATTTTGGATTATTTTTAACTTAAAAAAGTTACGGACTGGAGCTTTAAATCCTCCACATACAATTTAATTTAATTTCCTACCATTTCAGATTGACATATAGCAGCACGTTGATCTGCCAGTTGTGGGTCTTTCATGCAGAAAACTCTCCTTTGCAATCTGCATAATGATGTTTTTAAAAGTACAAAAGTTTTACAAAGGTTCACAATGCAGTTGCAGATGAAATATAATGTGGATAACATTGAATACATATCTTTAAGTCAGGTTAGATACGGATCACTCAGTCAAACCCCTTTATCTAAACCTCTCTACTTAACCATCAGACTCGCACATCCGCCATGTTTGTAGTTTTTAACACTTTTTATTCGTGTTTGTAGTTCTAATCCAATTTTTTGTCCAACGCTCAATGGGTTGTGGCACAGGGCAATTTTAGCCATTAGAGTGTGCACGGATTTTCTACTTTGGATTCTAAATGGAAAAAGTAGACCATCCGAGTATCTTTGGAAAACTCACTTCAACATACTACTATTTGGGACACACTAATTCTAATTTCAAATACTGTTTAGGATGGATAGTATGCAAATTGGGACACAGCACATCTATGGTTTAGCTACAACCCTAAACAAACACACCCGAACCAGATAATCATGATCTTCATGTGTGCTGAAGCAGGTTGGAAATAAACTTTGCAGGAGATTGGGTCCGAAGGAGGAGGGTTGAAGACCTAGGGGTGCAGTTAAGAAACCTCACCAGTCACATGCAAGCTGAACGCTTCTGCCTCCAGTTGATGCCAGAGCTTTCAGCCTGTAAAGAGAAAATATTTTAGAATTACCAGTAGCTACAAGTTCCCCATCTCAGAGTCAGACAGCTGCCTCAGTATCCTTAGAAACGCTTTGAACATCTTAGAACGTCAATAATATAGTTCCTCATAACATCGTAATATACATAATTCACCAGCTTTATTCTTCGATTCTTCATATCAACAGAAAAATATACAGGGATAACATGGCTTCTCTTGAGACTCTCTTGCTTCACAGCATAGTAATGATATGCCATAGCCCGCCGGCACGTTGACATGATTGGTTACAGGTAGTTTGTGATGTAATTAACCCGTGTTTTTGAGACTGTCTTTAGATCACTACAGTTTTAAAGAGAAAATACTCAGCAATGGTGTTGACTTATGAATTTGCACATGGTTTGTCTTAAAGCATATTAAAAACACCACATAGACATATAAACAATATTAAAAAATAGATTTTTACCACAGGGGGTCTTTAAAGGTGCTCTACGTAACTTTTAGCGGCCTCTAGTGGTGATGTTTCAGATTGCAACCAAATTTTACAAGAGCGCTCGTGCTCGAACTCATAGACAATACCGTCTATTACGCAAATATCTCGGCGAATACTAGCCGGATTCGGCGAGCACCGAGCTCGTTGGGACCATCTAGTCGAGCTGAAAAGAACCATATAAGTTCCATAGTTTTTGGTGGTGTTTTCGCGGAGATATTAGCAGAAAACCATCGGGCGCGCTGCAAAATTGCGGATGCCGGTGACGTCACGATCTCAGAAGAAAATCACTCGTGTCTCTGGAACGCAAAGACCCAGAGAGCTCAAATTCGGGGGAGGAGGTCCCAGGGGAACCCTTGCCCGAACGCTAGAGTGGCGGGCCTCTGGGATGCCCCCTACCGGATCACCGTTCGCTGGGACCCCCGATTTCGAACGGCTATAACTCGGGGAGCCGGGCGAGTTGGACCTCGGGGGTGGGCTCGTTCGAAAGGCCCCGTCCAGCACTACGAACGATTAGAGTCTTGGGAATATTGATCAAAGATTGACTGAGATATAAGCCAATAAACGTGCGCCTTTAACCGGACGTAACTCCCTGACCGTCTACAATAGACTGTATATAAGGAGAGAGGCTCGGGAGCGCGCATGCACGTCACATCCGATGGATTTCGCGGTAAATCCGACCCGGAGACTTCACATAGAAATAGGAATACTGGCCTTCAGAGGTAAAAGCAAAACTCGACAAGTAAGTCATTTTAATGTGTGATTACAACTCCTTCACACACAGGCAATAAAAAAAGGATTCATTTTAGTAGAAAAGTTACATAGAGCACCTTTAAGCAACTGCTGTGCAGGCCTGAGCGAGCATACAGTATGATGAGAATATGTTTGAAGTCTATGAGCTGTTGTACAAGAGCCAAGATGCACTTGGTCATTTTCCAATGGGTAATTTTGAATCTAATAGACTATGTGCTCACTGCTCACACTATGACACTATGTTTTGAGGTCTGTGACAGTGGAACATGTGTAAAAAGAGATATGTTTTTTTAATATATATAATTTCTAACATGTGAGCCAGTGAAAAAGCTGATATGCTGCGTGGGAGAGGTGATCATCACACTTCTCTCACACCTCAGTGTCTCATACACACTGTGATTGCTTCTTGAAGTGAAAGTTCTGCTTTAAAAAGAGTACAGCTTTTTTAAGATGCATCTTAAATGGAAAGTATTGCAGTATTGAATGCAGTTTGGATCATATTTTCTTTGATCTTGCATACTTTTGTTCATGTTTTTCAAAGATCTTCTTTGAAAAATCTTTATTTGACTAGCTTCTCCCAAGTGACAGACACATTTGTGCAAAAATATAGTGGAGTTTCAACACACAACCTTTGAGATCAACAACAAAACATATGGAAAACATTTTCCATAACAATTTAAAAGTTGATAAACCTTATGTTTCTAACTATACATGATAGTATAGTTGGTTGGACTTTATTTGCGTATTACGGAGCCCCGCACAAAATGTGTTCCCTTAGAAAAGAAACGTAAGGGATTACTATTAATTTTTCTGTAATTTAATTACAGTTACTTCTGATGTAATTACATTAAATACTTTAAAAACTATAGAACAATTATTTAAGACGTTCATGAAAAAAAAAATAAGTCAGGGTAAGAATACACCCTAATTTGCCATTTTCAGAAAACTTGGACCCTGATGTCATAAGAAGAAGAGGTAAATTTAACAGCATTTGCGTGACCAAATAGACCAAAAAAAAATTTGTGAGACGGTTTCTGTTCTGAAAGCACAACTGAGTGACACTGCGGTAACATGGGATGTATTGTATTAGAGTGTTTCAGCCTGTGTGAACAGGTCATCATAAGACCTCACATAGCCTCATTTTAACTATTACCACTGAAGCGAAACCTCACGGTATACCAGGACTTCCCCTAAGCTCTGTTCTGCAAAGACCTCGAACAGGAAAGAGTTTACCCAGAGCCACGGACAGTCTGTATATTTCAGTTATATATACTTATTATATACTTTACTTTTATATAAAAGTTATATAATTTTCAGTTATTACTTCCCTGTGACAGTTTAAACCCTTTTTCTAGTACGAATCACAGCTTTGCGATAACATTTTACAATATTATTTGTTCATTGACAAGACTAATTAATTGCTGTAGATAACAGCAGTCAACATCTGAACATAAATAAATGACTAGATCGTAAAAAAAAACTTGAAATTCATAATATTTCCATGATCGCGTATGCCAACACCATGGAAATTATGAACTATTACATATGATGAAAGGGATTTTTTTTTTTTTTATAATACCAAAGTGTGCTTTACAATGCACATGAGACAATCACTGGGCTAAATATTGTATTAGTATTAGCCACATTTTCAGGAACAGATATTCTGTGCTAAAATATCACAGTTTAATTAGGCTCATGGCATTTCACTTGACAACAAACAAGACATGAAACTCACAAAAAAGTCAAGCGTTTTGTACTCCCTAATAGTTGATGAATTTATTTAGCGATTTTAAATATATAATATATGTTAAGATTGATTTGATATGGTTAGTTACATTTTATTATTTGCATTAAAAAAAAAAATTTTCATTTCCTCATTTTCTTATTAGAACAGACCAGCACTTTTTCATAATAAAGCAGCGCAGATCAAGTCATCTCACTCTACAGTGTAGTAGACTTAATCACAGTGGTAACAGGCCCGAAATACTTTCTCATGCACAGTATGCACTGAGTGAAAAAGAGAAAGAGGCCGAAGAAGTTTACAAGTTAACAAGCGGATGACAATTGACAAAAAACACAACACATCCGTTTTTATGGCAATCTCATTTCATGGAAAAAGCTCTTGACAACATGAAATATTAACGCGCATACCAAGTATGATAGTGAAAACATCCACTGATTAAAATTTAAAGTAGGTCATAACGCTTCAAGTAATATTTTCCCATCATATAACCAAATATGATCCTTAAAACGAGATAAAAACGGAATAACCGCCCAAGCGCCCACACACGCCCTGTCATGTCCTAAGATGCCTTTATGTCTTACTAGCTATTTCCAATTTACCCTGTATTACTCATATACAATTTGCTGAAGGTGCATTGGGGGGTGATGCTTTACAAATTCCAGTGACACATATGATAATGAAATAATTATGACTGTTCGTCCAAAAAGCTGTGATCAGTAAAGTCTTCCACGCCTATTTTAATCAATGAATTTTTACATCTATATTCTCAAGTCTATTGAACAAAAACATAAATGGAGAGGGGAAAAGATTTGTTTTTAAAAGCATATTCAAAAATCAATAATTTGACTATTTAGTACTACTGCTTTTTTTTTGCCACAGCTCACTTACATGAGCAAAATCTTTGTATTGTTATATGATATAAATGATCTAAAAGGAGATTATATTTTGTGGATATTTATATCATGGCTTTTAGCATTAGCAACTAGCAGCCTGTAAATAAGATTAACTTTACAGGTTTACTGCCTGTTCTATTTTTTTTTGTTCTTGTTTAATGATGCATCTGCTTTTAACTGTTTTCCACAAATCACTCCAGATAATCTCCACAAAGCGTCTTTCATAATCATCCATCTGACCAAACAGGCATGAACACACCGGCTCTTTGGGGAAATCCCACAGCTCAGACCTCTGCATCCCTAAGTTTCCTGTTTACAGATCTTCCGTTTAGCCTGATTCTTTGCCAGAGGCTCAAGAGTCACTGCAATCCAGAAGAACACTTTCAACAACTGGTTTTGCAGACAGATAACTAATGTCAGCGTATGATGGACGTACTGCAGTACTGGACTGTTTGCACTCAAAAGTAATAGACTATATGTAAAGATTCTAAATATAAATAGCTTTTATAATGGTAAGGATACACTAAAACAATCAAATGGGACATTAAAAAGACATTTATAATGTTACAAAAGATTTCTATTTCAAATAAATGCTTTTCTTTTGAAATGTTTTATTCATTAAAGAAGCTTAAGAAAAATATCACGGTTTCCACAAAAATAATAAGCAGTAGGCTACAACTGTTTTCAATCTTGAGAACAGTTTCCTATGGAAGCTTGTTTCCGCCACAGAATGAAAAATAAAAAAGGTAATTGCGAATTTTTATCTCACAATTGCGAGTTTACATCTCGCAATTCGGACTTTTTATCTTAGAATTGAGCGATATAAAGTCGCAATTCTGACTTTAACACGCAATTGCGATTTTATATCACGCAATTCGGAGAAATTAAGTCAGATAAAAAGTCGCAATTATCTTTTAAAATGTTTTATTTTGTGGCGGAAACAAGCTTCCATAGTTTCCTGAGCCCCAAATCAGCATATTAGAGTTATTTCATGTGACACTGAAAACTGGAGTAATGACTGCTGAAAATTCAGCTTTAGCAGGCATAAAACACTATAAATAGTAAAACATTTCACATTTTTAGCTATATCCTTGTGTTTCTTCCAGAGCTTCATTCTGAGCAGGAGGGTGGAAGGACACCCGCATTTGGACACACGGCTCTCATTCTGGCAATCGCACAACCGCCACAGATGGAGGACTCACAAATGAGAGAACACACACTGATACAGGCCCCTTATAAACAGTGGAGGAGTGGAAGAGTAGGCTGACTTTAGAACAACTGCTTCTGTGGATCCCACTCTTGTGCCTGTGTCTGTTTTTTTTCCAGAGGTGGAGGAGAGGTTCGCTCCCTATTGATGCTAGTGTGCTGGCCTACATCTGTTTCCTCTATCCCAGCAGCCACCGAGGGAGCTGAGCCAAAAAGGAAGCAGAAAAAGATACCATTGATCTCACTGACGCCCGGCAAGAGCAACAGACACTATCCCACAAGCCCCAAGGCCCACAAGTACCAGCTGCCATCCCTGCCACACAGAGCGCACAGCTGTTCATCCCAAAACATGGCCAGCCAACACCTGCAGGCCTGTCGGCAAATGTGGCCAGACCAGGACAGGCAACAGGGACAGCTGACGGCCCACTTGTATCCACAGAACATCGCATCACAACAGAAACATGAAATGCATCCTGCGAGGGACATAATGTGGCCTTTCAGTACGGAAGATGATCAGGATCTCAGTATTTATACACCAGGTCATGGTCGCCATTTCATCTCCTGCTTTGTCATCTTTCAGGAAGGAAGTTGATGACATTTACACAGCGTGACCCTGAGACAAAACCACAGCATTATTATACGCGCAGACTGACTACTGGTAAACGCTACCTTATGACAAGACAGAAACGGTGATATACGTAATATGAGCAAGAGAATAACGAGAAGGACTGGTTGGTGTAGTCAGACTTAACGGTTCAGCCAAGAATGAAATTACCGTCATCGTTTGCTAGCCCTGCTGTTGTTCCAAACCTGTATGACTATGTGAACAAAAAGAGGAATTTTTGAAGACTATCTTGCCCACACTTTTTTTAAATATAATGAAAGTTAATGAGAACTGTATTCTGCCAAGCTCCAAAATTAAAAAAAAAAAAATACACAAAAGTGTTATAAAATTGGTACAAATGACTCATGACCTTTAGGCTGTTATTCAGTGCAAATCTTGACATCTGCCTTGAACTTGAACTGCCACAAACTTGGTGAGTTTATGAGAGAAGTTGTGATCAGTGTTGGGGGTAACGAAAAAACGCATTACAAGTAATGCGAGTTACGTAATCAGATTACTTTTTTCAAATAACTAGTAACGCATTACTTTTAAATTTACAAAAAAATATCTGAGTTACTTTTTCAAATAAGTAACACAAGTTACTTTGTTTCCCATTTATTTATTGACACCTCTCCTGTCCCCATGTTTTTTTTTTTTGTTTTTTTTTTTTTTACAACTTTTAAGAAATCCTTTATATTATATCTCAAATTCTGGATATTTATGCAGAATCTCAGTTATGCTGTAACCAACATCATAAATCACAAATAATTAGTTCAAATGATGAATGTCATAATACAACCAACAGCATTAGATAATTTTTTTTCTTTGTTCATCTGGCAGGTATAACTCGGATACAACAGCCGAACAAAATCTCTCCTGTCCCCATGTTGAGAGAAATCAGGAGTAAAGTTCAGAGGTGTTGTGTACGCTGTGCATATATGATGGTTATTGTATTGTAGTTAATCTCACTTTTTTAACCAAAGTCTTTGATGATCCAATTCAACCATACTAATAAGCAAAAATAACTAAGATTTTGTTTTGCTGAAGTAAGAGAGTTGACATTTCCTGCTTCCTATTACTCAGCCATCCAGAATAGTTTAAGCTGCACCCTCTACTGTACAGCCGTGAATTTGCATTTCCTTCAGTCAAAGCTTACTCGTTTTACTTTTGGTGTGAAAGGGCCTTTACATTTGCACAAAAATAGAACTTTTGTGTCATTAAAGAACAAACAAGCAAGCCCAGCTCAGGTGAGGAAAAAGTAAATTTAAGCTTAAGCTAAGGTAATGCAACACATTACCTTCCATGAAAAGTAATAACGCAATATTGTAATGCATTACTTTTAAAAGTAACTTTCCCCATCACAAATTTGTGATGTCCAATTTGTGAACGAATCATTCTTGTGAATCAAATGTTCTCAAATAATCTGTTAATCCAGTTCACAAAAACTAGGCTGCATTTAAATCCAATTGGTTATGCCCTTCCCTTGCTAACTTCCCTCCGTCTCTTTCACTCGAGTGTACGTCATCGCTTTAAATTGCATGAGTGCTCACTACTGGCGCCCTTGATCACTTGGAATCTGCTATGGAGCTGATTTTTTTTTTTATATATATAGTTTATTTTCCCCATATGAATTTGTTTTATGCACCATTCTATATGCCTGTATGTATGTTTGGCCTGTTAAATAAATAAACAAATATTAAATGTGAATATATTTATATTAAATATAAAAAAATACACAAATGAAAATGATAATATAAACTATAAGGTAAGGTAGCTACAACAAGTATTAAAGGTAGTTACATGTCAAAATAACGCCAATATCATACACTAGAGTTGTGTGGGATGGGGGTGAATTGGGAGCGACTGCTGTGACGTCACAATCATGGTGCATTGTAGACTATGAATCCGCCTGATGTTGAGTAGACTCACTCCCTTGGTCAAAATCGAGGGGTAGAGGGTCTGTCCAAATAAACTTCTCTCGTCCACTGGACGAAGTAGAACGCACTTCAAAATGGCGGTGGGGACTCCCAGAGGGGAAGTGCGCAAGTATCTCTAAAAGTGGAGAATGATTGTATTGCTCAGAATCATACTGATCTGAATGGTTTTACTGATAGGAATGATTATTAGAACGATACAGATCAGAATGATTTTCTAATCGCTAACTGATCCGGTTGCAACAGTTAACAGCTCTCTGGGGGCGAAAGTTATCAGTGAATAATGATTTAAATTTCAATAAAATTCCTCACACTAAGTAATATTGAAGTTATATGGTGCTTTTTTTGGGTCATTTTGGAGCTCTGCATTTCACTTTCATTAAATGGACAAGTGGTCAGGATTTTTCTTCAAAAATCTGCTTTTGTGTTCCACTGAAAAATAGAAGTCATCGGGGTTGGAACAGCATGAGGGTGAACAAAGGATGACAGAATTATTATTTATTTCATAAAAAAAAAAAAAAAAAATCATGGTGATCATTTCCAAATGCAACAGGACCAAACAAGTAATCACCAGGACCACAAAAAAAAAAAAAGAAACAAAAAGAAACTTCCCACACTAGACTGAGCGCACGTCGGCTATGTGCTTTATTTAATTTTGAACAGCTGCATAGTCTTAGGTTTTCTCGTATATGTGCCAAAATAAGAATGAAAACAAAAACCTTGTGACTTACAAATCATTCATGCTGTAATAAGCACAGATGTTCCTTCCCACATGTTACAGGACACCTTTACAATCTTTTTACATTGACTGGGTCAGTATGATGGTGCTCCTCCTATCTCAGTTGGTTCACATCAGGGCAGTTGACATGTCTGAAAGCTCTCAACTTTAAAAGAGTCCTTTACAGGAAATCAGGACAGTTCACTGTTTCCTTTATGGATGTATTGACATAACAACAGAGGAAACGCATATTAATAACTCCTGACTAAGCTTGACACACACACACGCTAGTTAATATAAATGCACTTTTAGTGCCTTTAAATAATAATAAAAAAAAAACACTTGAATATATATATATATATATATATATATATAATATTATAAGTATATAGGCATATATATATATATAGTTGTATTTAAAAAAAAATTGTTACATTGTCACATTTATATAATATATAATTTTAGATTTATATATATTTGTATATAATATTAGTGAAGGGAAATCTGAAGGATGACTTTCTCAAATAACATGACATCGTTACATTGATTTAGACAGAGCCTAATTCCCTAGTTTAGATCGCGCTCTCTGTGGGTTTTTTGACACAATTACCAAAAATGGCTAGAAGACTTTCTCTTATGTGATGCTTAATGTGGCTGCAAAAACACATCAGTGACCTGAATGACAAACAAAAGCCTCTCTTGTAAGCGATATAATACAAGCCATTTGCATTGCATGATAGCATTATTTTCATGTCTAAATATACATTATCCCATAGGTTATCATTATTCAGTCAGTTTCGTGACTTTATACTGACTTGAAGTCAAAGTAATCCACCTCAACAATAATTTAATTAGTTTCTATAGCGTGTTAAGACACCCTACAGACGAACTTTGAGGGACAAAAACATCTTCATCATTTATAAATGGATGATTTTAAGTAGAACGCCATTATAGTCTATATTATAAATATGGGACTTACGCTCTCATCTGAGGAAATCCCATCGACAGCAGCACGTCCAGATTGGATCCATGTTTGACAGAGACGCAATTGTTCTGTCTCAGTCTGCGCGGAATAATCTTTGAGTAAAGATCCTCCTTTGCTGCCATCCTTTAGTCCCAATCAAATGATACTGACGACAGTCGGGTACGACACATCCACATCTGCTTATTTAGCGATTTACACTACTGCAATAAGCGCATAATCGGTCCCTCCTCCTGACAGCGGCAGCGTATGTTTGTATACAGTAGCCTAGTAGTACAGTAGATTAACGAGCTATAGATAATGTCTGCGTCTCAAAACCAGTCACCTGCCTACATACTAAAATACATTTTGACCATCAGGCGGGTTTCAAGCTCGGCATATTTGAGCAACGCGCCTGTATGCAAAAAAAGAAAAAAAGCTATCTATATGGTCACGAGGTTTTAGACACAGTTTTGTTATGCTTGTCAAACTAGCAGTGACTTGTTCACTCGTCGTCATGCTTGACACTAACCTTCTTTAATTAGTCTAATTTACCTAAAAGTCCAAAGTTAATAAGGTTGTACATTACTGTTAGTCTCTATGACCTGAAATAACAAGTAACTCCACACATTCAATCGCATAATTACCATCATTTACTTCCATTTAATTCCAATACTAATGTAAAGTGAGTCAAAAGGATTTATTTGATTCATTAACATATTGACAACATCTATGACAACATGGGAGAATTTTTTGGTGGTAATTTGGTAGTGCTGACTATAATAATACATAGACCGATATAATTGAATAAAACCTTCCATTCGCAACCACGTCTTATTGAAATAAAGAAAACACTTTTGGCTCTGCACAAAAACCTCTTTACGACACAAGAACAGGATGGGTGTGGAAGGCCATAGCAAGGTCAATTGTTTCTCGTTCTATCTGAAACGTACAACAATTGGAGCCCCACCTACTCCTAAACAATGACCTGTGATATAGAAGTCTGAAATAGGAAAGCATTGACAAGTTCATTTAAACTTAAGTTCAAAACTGGTTAAAACAAATATAAAGGGATAGTTCACCCAAAAATGTACATTCTGTCATCATTTACTCACTCTCATGTCGTTCCAAACCTGCATGACTTCTGTGGAAGACAAGAGATGAAAATTTAAAGAAAGTTAGTAACCAAACAGCTTTGGCTACCATTGACATCCAAAAAATCTTAAAAGATCTTCTTTTATGTTCCACAGAACAAATAAAGTCATACAGGTTTATAATGTATATTGTAAAAATTAAAATTTTGGGGTGAACTATGCCTTTAAGCTATGTTCCTTTAGCAGAGCCTTTATATCTCAGCTTCTTGGCCAACAATTAATACAACCATTTCTCCGAGTGATCAGTTCTGACCCTGCACTGACGGGTCATAAGGCACAATTAGACAAAACACACATCCCGCCTCTTGGAAAGCCCTCTTCATCTCCACCTAGTGGTAAAACATGAAATATATTTTTTACACTGGGGCACAAAAATATATACCACATCCAGTTCAATTTAATTTCAAATCAGCCAGTTACAAGATCCGTTTATGATAGTTGATGCTGTTTTCACATCATGTTAACATTTGTGCAATTACCAGTAGATTATTACTAGACCAGTAAAAATAAAATAAAAAAGCATCAAACTCATAATTACAAGTTGGAATGTCACGCTTCTCTAACTTGACTGTTTTAATGTCGTAAAAACAACAAAAATGGCAGCAGTTTAAAGTAGATCGGTAGCTATATACATACACTACGTTGCAAAAGTTTGGGGTCATTCATTATTTTCTTTAAAGAAAGAAATTAATACTTTTATTCAACAAGGATGCATTAAATCTATCAAAAGTGACAGTAAAGTTTTTTAGCAATACTAAGAGATGTTTCTTGAGCATCAAATCAGCATATTAGAATGATTTCTGAAGGATCATGTGACACTGAAGACTGGAGTAATGATGCTGAAAAATCATCTTTGCCATCACAGGAATGAATTACATTTTAAAATATTAAATATTAAAATATTTTAGATCTTTAGATCAAAAACATTTAAAAAATCTTACAGACCACAAACCTTTGAACACTAGTGTACATTTATGTTTGATATAATTCATAATGTCTTAATATAGAATAATTTCAATTATAAACCAAAGACATTAAAATGGTTTACAGACAGTGTATCTACAACAAAAGTTTTGATGTTATGAAAGTTAGAATTTCCCATAGCACATGAATAGCTCGGAGTAGAATCCTAAGTTACTTGTTGCCTCCTAATTACGGTAATTCACACATTGCATAAATTAAATTACATTATATAAAAGTCAAAAGATCTGCCATACCAGCCGCTCTTGGTCCATACACAAGCCCACCACAGCACCACCACTGCCGGGCAATTTGACAGCAGATTCAAACTGCACAGACAAGGAAAAAATCATTCAGACGTGCTGCTTTTTTTCTGCAGGTCAGATTACTTCTAGTATTATGGATTAACTTAGTGCACCAGTTAATTTACCACATATATTAGGGGAACAATGCATTGACATTCATTTACCTGTCTCGCAAGCTGTACCATTTTCAGATTTCCAGGGCCCAAGCATTCTTCAGTATACACCGACCTGATGGCAAAATGTAACTTCAACAGTGGTATCTATTTAGCTATTTATAAATGAACTTATATTAAAATCCTGTTTGATTTAAACCACATAATGAAGGATTCGTTGTTGGTTCTTTTAGCTTAAAACTACAACATTAACCCACAGATTGGTGACATGCTGTTAAACCTCCATTCAACTTAAAACATCATACCGCCGTAGCTCAAAGTTTTCATCCATGAGCTGTGCGAGTCTGGCCCAGTCCTTACACAGGAAGGCAGCCCTGCATACGGTGAGAAAAACTTTAAAGCACTTTTAAATGATCCGAATTTTAGATGAAAAGTACAACGCTACAATTATTGAAGGAGCAATGCTCAAAGATGAACCAACCGGGCTTGGTCTGTGAGTTCAGCAAACGATTTCATCGCTTCAACCACAGCAGAGTCACCTGTTCAGAAAGAACAAGACTCGTGAAAAGCTTTATTTATTCACTATCAAGACATAAACCAAGACATAAAGCAGGACTTACCGTTTAACCATCGCTGTCTAACATTACTGTGAATCCGTCCAGAATCACTTGGATCGCTCAAGTACGCCAGCCAGAACAAGGGAAGATCGTTCATGTCCAAGGGAATGTATTCTCCTATATAAAAGAATAGATTGGCATGCAGTACAGCCACTTAAAATGTAGGTTTCTATAGCAAATGCACTACCATTTAAAGGTTTGGGGGAAACTAAATGAATACTTTTATTCAGAAAGGATGCACAAGTGACAGTAATTATTTTTACATTCTTACAAATTTCTACTTAAAAAATGCTGTTCTTTTAAACAATGTTTTCAACATTGATAATAACAAGAAATGTTTCTTGAGCAGCAAATTAGAATGATTTCTGAAGGATCATGTGACACTGAAGACTGGAGTAATGATGCTGAAAATTCATATATTCTCCAATGTAATATTATTTTACAATCTTACGGTTATCACTGTATTTTTGATCAAATAAATACAGCCTTGGTAAGCATAAGAGACATTAAAAAAAATACAAAAACTTTTTTAGGTTTCTATACAGTAGAGTAATAAAAAAATGTATTTATATTGCCCAGAATAATATTTCTGTTCAAAGACAGTACCATAACCCCGCTCATCCATAAGCTGTTTGTTGAAGTCCATGTAAACCAAGCCTTCATATACCTATTAGAAAGTTAATACAGAGACAGTCATGTTCCACACAGCCTAAGTCAGATTGGTCAAATTAATATGCATATATACATCACCTGCACAACTCGATCCTGTAGACCAGCTGTGATGAACAGCTCATCCGTCTCTACATTGAGGATGAAGTTGGCTCTGACTGGTTTAGGAAGATCCTGACTCAGGATAAAGTTTATGTAAGCTAATAGTTTTTTCCAACATTAAAAAGTAGTTCTAAATCTATCCACTGATTGGTGAATGCTGAACATACATTGTCTGTGATGTTGTAAAACTTCATCAGGCACTTCAGTGTGGCAGACACAATAGCACTACACAGAAAACACCCAAATGCTAATGTTAGAATACTCAAATTTGACCCCAATAACAGCAGATGAAACGGCAAGTGTTTGACACTTGAATAATGAATATAATGCATCTTGTTTGATTCCAAATCAAATTGACATGAATGAGCTTTGGAGAAACTGATTGTTAATGTTCATTGAAGTTTGGAGTCAACGTTTTACTTACCTACTGCCAGCTAAACCCTAAAAGACATCAAAGAAATGTAGTACAGCGTTACTCCACATTCTTAGTACTTCAACTCTAGATAGACAACTACAAATGTCATTAGTAATAAGTCTTACCACTTGCCGAGGAATGTTTGTGTCATACTTGAGAGTAAAATTTTGCTTGGACAGAGCAATGCTGTCAGCAAAAAAAGAAAGCAAATACAGTCAGTGTCTTAAGGCCCTTGCACACCGAGTCCGAAATTTTCGTATGCGTTTTTTCGTATTCGTGATTCGGTGGCTCTGAATTGTCAAAACACCATTCAAACTGCTTGCTACGAATGCGAAAAACGCAGAAAATCGAACCCGATTCGATTGTTCACGCTTGCACAGGTAGTGTGCAAGCGTGATTGACATAACGTGAGGTCGTATTTATTTTTTAACGTGCGAACATTTCGGACGCGAATTTCGGACTCAGTGCGCAAGGGTCTTTACTCATTCCAATTACACAACAGATCTTTTCTTCTGTATTATTCCATACATACTCAAGTGTAATGGATTATCGAAAAAAGAAAAAATATAGTGCAGGGATTTGAATCATTCCAGTGGTTGTTGATTGGATTTTCTTTTTAATTAAAGTTCAATAAAATCAGTTTGCAAAGAAATCTATGATCTCCAAAATACTTATAGATCAATTATTATCTTAATTTATATACAGTATATCCTAATGATAATGAAAACACATTTGTCAAGTTGCCAGACATGACGAAATGTATTGCTGTCCAATTACAAAGAAGAGACAAACTTATTTGTCTATTTCAATATAGTACATAGAACAATACTTCAATAAAGAGACAGTATTGTATTTAAAAAGAGACACTGCCATTGTATCACTGTATTATAAGCCATATCTACATAAAGTGATTGGACCCAGATAATCACGACTTTAAGAATGTATTTATTCAATTATGTTCATTGGATCTCACCCTTTTTCAGAGCAGAACTGGTAAAACTTTTTACAGGTGGCTTGTAGAAGTCTCAGACCTCCCAAATACCTGTAAGGTAAATAAATTAATATTAATGATAATAATTGGTTTTGTTGTATCGTAAACATTCTGCAGAATATATCATGAGTAAACGATGAGAGATTGTTAATTTTGCACGGTTTATTCCTTGTTTAAAGTGTCCATATTGTTGAAGTCCATGCAAAAAAAAAAAAAAAAACACCAAAAAAATCTGAGACAAATACTTGATGTTTGGACAAACCCTTCTTTCCGGCTGATCTGAAAGAGATCCTGCAAGCTTCCGAACTCCGTAGGGTCGTTCAGAGGATGAGGTAGAATGGCCTTAATAAAAACAGTGAAATATATGAAGAACAGTGCTTTTCTTGATGTCTTATCTCAGTCTGTTTTTTGTTTGTTTTACCAGAGTCTGGCTCTCCATGAGTGTGACCTCAGCCCAGAAATTAGCAATGGTCATAGCAATGGTTTTCCCATTGAAACCATCAGAGGGGTTCCCCATGAGTCCAACCCTGTGAGTAAACACACAGACCTATGTATAGTAATGAAAAGCAGGTAGGCATGTGTGGATACTAGCTAATGTGTTCTGACTGACCTGGCATATGAGCGGCATGTAATAGGTTTAGATGGGGACAGCTGCTGTTTAGAAGAATAGTGAGTGAGCCATTTCGTGTAATCAGACAGACCCTGTAATAACAGATGTTAAAATTCTCAACATGTATTAATATAAAATTTACATTGATAATATAATAAGAAATGTTTTTAAACACCAAGGATGATAACTTTAACGATAATGATAAAGATATAGTTTTAAAACTCGTTGTAAATATAAAAGAATAGCAGAGTCCACAACTATACAATAATGGCACAGAGTAACGATATCATTGGAATCACTTTCAGAACGATTTTTTTCCAGCTGAAGAAAGATAAAAACATTGACAGCCAATCAGAATCCATTCTCGAGCATTTAAAGTGGCGGACAATAAACCTGCAGCGTGCGCTTAGGATAAACAGCATTATCGTTTGTTGATGTCGATGTTAATACAGTTATAAATATGGTTATCTTTATACTTATTGTTCTTGGTGTAAACAGGCCTTGAGAATGATTTTTGAAGGATCATGTGACACTAAAAACTAAAAGTTATGGCTGCTGATATATATATATATATTTATATATATATAAATTAACCAAAATAATGCTACATTTGTACCCACCACTTGTCCAATTAGTTGAAATCCTGTTGGTAACTTCATCCCATAAACAGGAACCTTCTCCTCATTTATAATCCATTCCTAAAACCAGTAAAATCCTATTTAATATTGAAGTTAACATTAAATTTAAAGATACAGAAACAAAGGTTTAATGCTTTACATTTTAAAAAGATCATTTAAAACATTTACCCAAAAAAAGCCAAAGGTTCTATCTTTAACGTCTGGGTGTTGAACAAGGAAATCAGAGATGTACGGTAAGGACTCTTTACGCAGACAGTAGAACACCACACTTGCCAGACGGGATGCGGTGACGCCCTCCCGAGGCTTCTCAATGAAGCGCATGACCCTGGTGTGCACATAGATTCAGAATCTTGTAATGAATGATGCAGAGCCAAATGACGTCCACCTTCTAGCTCCACCCATTATGCTAATGACATCTAGAGAGGGGGAGCTGGCCACCCATGTCTCTACAGTAAGCAGCCTCTCCGTAAAAAATAAATAAAAATAATTATTACATCTTCCATCGGGCCATATATAAAAAATGTCTAATTGTCAGTTTGAATTTTAAAATGCTACTTTTTTTATTTATGTCTACATACAGTATATACTTCTAAACATAAGCATACATGTTGACATATGTAAAAAAAAAAATCAGCCATCATAATGTCACTTTTCTATCTTAAAGTTTATTTTTATTTATGTTGTGGTGGATTTTTAATAGATAAGATTAATTATGTTACTAACCATTTTTATCTTATGATAAACTTGTATCACACTTCCCATTTTCATGTCTGATGGTGACTAACTTTCCATTCTAGATCTAACAATAAAACAAAATAAATCTTACTTCCTTTTATTTAGGATGTAGCCATCAGATGAACTTTCGATATGATCTAACCTTCTAACAAACTTTTGACTCAATGTAACCTTGGTCAATGTAACTTTGAAAATGGACTAAAAGTTCAGTTTTTTTACTGTATTGTGAAATGATTGACTGAAATATTAATCTTGGCTAATTTTTATAATACCAGAGGGTATTTCTCCGACCTGGCAAGATATTAATGTCTATTTCTATGTTTTTTTAATAACAGATGCCACTGCATTTTAAAGCACTACTTTTTTACTTTACAAGTATGTTTATATAATATTTACTTGGCTATTCATGTTCATTTGATGTACAATTCGTTTGAATCATGATGTCACTGATAACGTCAAAGACATTTCCATTTAATGATAAAATTAATAAATGATAATACACAAAATCCTGCTATTAAGAGGGCATGACAATGGCCATTGAACACAAATTATTTTATTTTTTTTAATAAAGAATCTACACTAATCTTGGCTAATTTGATAATTTCAGAGGGTACTTCTTCCATGACAACACAACAAAAATAAACGTAAAGATGCTGTGTCATGTCTCACCGATGGGTGTTCGGACAAACTTCAACAATTCCTCTGGAGAAGCTCTTCTCTCCTGACTCCAGCTCATAATATATAGCAAGTTCTCCAGGCTGAAGTATTAAATTGAAATGAGAATTAAAACTGAGCCGAAATTACAAATCATTTTTGCAGGTTAAATGAGTAGAAAATAATGATGATTTAAAGTTATGAAATGATAAGAGAGTAAATTCAGTTGTCTGTGCCACATGAGAATCCCACTATGGGGCAAGCAGTAAAGTACGAACCTGACTGGGTCACTATGTTTGACATCTCACCCACAAGAATCAACTTGTTACAACACAGTCAATATGATAAGTCTCTCTTACCTTAGATCTGAAAAAGCGAATGACTTGTGCAATATCAAAGTTTTGATCAGCACAAAGCATGTCTCCTGCAATCTGCAAATGCAATATGAGAACACACAATTGAAAACAGCCCTTTCAATTTAAGTCAAATAAAATAGGTTTTGGAAAAAGGTGTGACTAAAGGTGTGCAGTGTTTTAATAGCTCACTGCGGTGTCATACCACCATAATGTCATCTTGTAGCTGTCGGCTTCGGATGGCCAATTCAAGGTCTGCAACAGCCCCGAGTCTGTCATCCAAAGTAGTGCTTCCATCATTCACAACATTCTCCACTGGAAAGTCATTGGCTGTTGCCCACCGCTCATAGTGTTTGTATCTGAATTGAGTGCAGTTTTGAATACAATTTTAAATTAGTTTAATGGCTGCTATTGTGTATCTTAAACATACAAAAAGCCACACTTCCTGCACTTATTTTCACAAAAGAAAATGTAAACATTGCAAAAAAACTAGTTGGCATACATGTCAAATGACAGAACAAATAGGACATACTTATCAGCATTCGTGACCAGATAGACTTCACTGAAGAGCTGGCGACTGGGAGAGAGGGTAAATACTGTGTTGCATTAGTTTGCATGGAAAACACCTTTCACAATGATTCAAACAACAAATATAATGGCTCACGTGTTGACGGTTTCCCACCAGAAATCCAATATTTTCTTTCCACCCACTCCAGGTAACAGAGCTTTGGGCACACCGGCCAGATGAGCATACAGACCTGTAATATCACTCTTGAAATATAGAGACATGTTTGTTAAACATTGCATTACATCTTTTCTTTCTTTTTTTGAAAAGAAATTAACAACGTGGCATTAAAGTTATTACAAACGCTAACTGCAAAATAATGACACAAAGTTTTACGAAATCATAATCGTTTTTGCAGCTCACAGGAAAACGTTTAAATCAGTTGATTTACCTTAATCTGTGTCTCTAAAACCGTGCCGTGCCCCGCAACTAACAGTATGCAAATCATTGCTCCGGCTTATTATTTATTTGAAATAGCAACGCATAGTCCTTCCATCACAGGGTCCGTAGAAAGTCCATAGTGCAACTAATAACACAGTTACAACTTTGAACTTACTCACGTCACCGGAAACCCTACAAATCCTTAAAGAAACAGGCTCATGATTTCATTTGTAATATGGCAAGCCGTTTTAACATTTAGTAATTTAAACAAACTCTTTGTTTGTATACTAGTAGTACTTATTAATAAATGACTAGTACACCATTAATAGATACTAGTAGACCTGCTTATTCAAAATACACAATAATTGATCCCAATTTTATTAGTAATAGTTCAGGTTTCACTATACACAGACCCGGCCCGGCGCCAGACACAAATTCACGGACGGGCATTCATTTTTTTTCAGGGGGGCACAAATGAAAACAACCTCATTGCATCATAACAGAATCGATTATGATACTATGCAATGATCGATAGAGCATAATAATTATATAATAGGCTACTGACGCTAAAGGTTCGATCTTGCCGTCCAAAATTCTCACATCTAAAATAGGCTACGACCTCAAGTTGTGTCAATCACGTTTACACACTGCCTCCGCAAATTTCGTCCGTCATAAATCATTTTTTTAAGTAGGTTTGAGAGGTGTTTTCAGGGCCACTGGAAGTAATTGTGATCAGTGGGTGCTGTGTGAATTTTTTTTTTTTTTTTTTAAATTGGGCATGCTGTGTGGACCTCTGTCCCTAGGGGGGTTCGGTGACATTCTCCGCCGCAAGAAAATTTTGTACATTTTAAGTTTAAATGCATCAATCTGGTGCACATTGAGAGCTCAAAATTAAGAGCTTCAACCGGCTTCGACCCATGAACTGTGCACATTGAACAAAGAAAAAGCATTGACTTGTACCTAAAGAGGGCTCAAACATCTTGTTAATTATAGTCTCAGTCTACATTACATTGCATTTTATATTAAGCTATAGAATAGGACAATTACACTACTTTTGTCCTAATTTCTTCACTTGTAAGAAATAAACCCTTGAGCTTTTATTTAGGAGAAAACACAAGATCACCATGCTGATCGTGTGAGCAAGAGCGCACTTTTCTTTAAATCACACAGCAGCACGAATGGCTAACGTTACTTAATTAAAGTCTTGTGCTGTTTAGCCAAAAAACGAAATATAATACCAAAAACACTCGACATGTCAACAAAACATAAACATCTTCCCAAACACATATCAAGCTTATTTAAAAACCTCGAAAGCATAAACACTCATTCAAAGTAATACAACGTATTACGTATTCAGAATACAAATTATGAGTAGGCTAACAGTAGTCTCCACAGAGCATAAAATATTCATTTCATTTTATTTTTCGTGTTCGCATTTATGAGGAAAAAACAATGTTACGGACGTGAGCGCTCTAAAAAGCGGCACTAAAAGATGCTTTAAAACTTTCACAGAGATATCAAACAGAAAGCAAAACCTTTATTTAAAGTGAATTTCGTTTTGTATTAATTGTATCTTAATTTTAATCAATGTTTCATCAACCAATTGCCTGGATGGATTTAATAAATAAGAAGTAAATATAGCAGACGATAATGACGAACTGGAGGCGCCAGCGCGTGAACTGGAGCTCGTCGCAATTGAACCGAAACTCAGTGTAGGCCTAAGGTAGCCTACTCGCCTCACAGACATGTCTACTTTTTAACAGAACAATTCAAAACGAAAGAAAACAGACTATAGACTGCTCCCTGCTCATGTAATCCGTATGAAATGTGCATTTCTCTATGGCGTTTGAACGAAACGTTTGAATGAATGACTCAAAGACTCGCTTAATAAGACCGGGCGCTATCACATACATTTCCGCGCTCTCTATCGACAAACCAATCAATCCGTTTACAATTTTAAAAAAATCAGACCAAACACTTTTTATTTTTATTCAGGAGTTATGTATATTCAAAAGGATAACTTTTGATAACAGTAGCCTATTGATAAAGGGCGGGCACTAGTGACTCACAGGGCGGGCCAGGCCCCCCAATGCCCGCCCATGGCGCCGGGACTGACTATACAGTGATGATAGCTTTATAAGTAATGATGACTAGTCAGAATGGTTACTTTATACATACCCCGCCCTATTCACTTCTGATTAGTGCTGTTAACTAAATTTGTTCCAGGTTCGCATTCCTGTTACTAGTTCTCTTCCAGGTAGCCTACTAATGTAGTAGACCATTTCACCGTATTAGGCTGCGTTGGCAACAACATGCGACCTGTATCTGGATGTTGTCCACATTATCATACATATTGAAAAGACAAATGTAAACGCGCTTCTGATCGGAATGTTATCCGATCAGCGTGTCCAGATTAATCGGATCACGGTGATCGTATATTAGTGCCAAGTGTAAACGCAGCCTTAGAAACTCTGTAATCGTAGTATGTTAAAATGAGTATTCCAAAGATACCCAGAGGGTCTACTATTTCTGGTTAGAATTCGAAGTGCAGATCCATGCACACTTTAATGACTAATATTGCCCAAAACCCATTGCGTGTTGTACGAGGATTCGATTAGAACTACAAACACGAATAACAAGTGTAAAGAACTACAAACATGGCGGATGTCTGAGACCAACAGTTAAGGGGTTTTAGTGAATAATAATTAGTATCTAACCTAACAAAAAAAAAAAATCAATGTAATCCACATTATGTTTCATCTGTAACAACACTGTGAACTTTTAAAGATGTTTCATCATTAACTTTTAAATGCAATTCTCCACATGAAAGACCTACGACTGGCAAATGAACCTGCTAATATCTCTCCAATATGGTAGGACATTAAATTCAATTGAATGTGGAGGATTTTAACTGTGACCAGATGATTGACAGGGCAGTTTAAACAGTGACAGGATGCACATAACTAAGCGACAGTACGTTCTGTTAAAGATTAAATTATGACAAGGTAGTATTGCCTAAAGCTTGCCTACCATTCTGCTACACACTCAAAAACATCATGCACATACTTTTTCCTTCACAAAAACAGTACATACCTTTAGGGCATAGTATAATAGGTCAATTGGGACACAGCATTTGTTCCTGGAGGGCCACAGCCCTGCAGAGTTTAGCTTCAACCCTAATTAACAGCACCTCATCCAGCTAAAGTCCTTCAAGATCATTTAAAAACTACAGCTATGTGTGTTGGTGCTGGGCTGGGACAAAACTTTGCAGGATTGTGGCCCTCCAGGGGCTGAGTTTGCCAGCCCTGCTCCAACTCCTCATATGCGTGTTAGGGCCATCAAAAATGTGCAGTGTTGGGGTACTCCAGGACCAGGATTGGGAACCACTGTACTAGTACATAATTAGTATAAATACACCAGCCACCATTGGAATTCTGTACAAGTATCTAATGGTTACTAGTAAAATGTAAAACGATATTAGTCACTATTGGATTACTTTCTATTAATTTAAAAAAGGACTAGAAAAACATAACCTTGTTAGTTTTAAGAAATAAATGGCTTGCCATAATGTCCATGGTCATAGAACTCAGTTCCTGGAGGGCTGCTGTCTTGCAAAGTTTAGCTCCAACCCTAATTACACACCTGAACCAGCTAACCAAGGTCTTCAGGATTATTAGAAACTTCTGGGTAGGTGTTTTAGAGCTGGTTGGAGCTAAACTTCGCAGGAAAATAGCCCTCGAGGAGCGGAGTTCGACACATGTGTCATAGAGGAAGGTCTAAGAACATTGAAAGCAGGTTCTTTAAGGCCTGAAGTGCTGCATGACCCTAAGTCTTGTGCCTTTTTGCTTACCAAATATTTGGTATTTAACAAAAATAGACAAGAATATCTCCAGGAATCAGAGATATTTTTGTCTATATATTTTCAAAACTAAATATTTGACAAGTGAAATGGCATAACATAACAACATACACTGAGGTGTTGCAACACAAAACATTCTTAAACCAGAGTCTACAAGAATGGCATAGGGGAAATTTGTCTATTTATTTCAGCACTCTGAATAGTGAAATCTCCTATGATACTATATGTTGTAAATTGTCATTAATAGGCAGTTATTTTACATGCTCATTATTCGAACAAATTAAATTGAAAAACCTTCTGAAAAGTATGAAAAATGCATTAATAACAAATATTTGACATGTATAATTTTCACAAATTTAGAAGTAAAAGTACAAAATGAACAAATTCTGCTGACCTGTCCTGGTACATAAAAATGAATGCTAAATTACATTAAAGTATGGGGGCTGGAAGACGCAAAAAATAAAAAATAAATGATGTACATAAGGCAAGATCCTGATGGAGAATCATCACCAGCAGTGGCGTGCACAGACCTCTGCTGGGTCAGGGGCGAAATCACGTTCCGGGGGCATGGGGGGTCCCCCTAGGTTGACATCGCCTTCTGGGGGCACCGCAATACGACCGAAAGTGCACTTTTCTATAAGCGATTAAAGTGCACACCACTGATCACCAGTAGGTTGAATACTGCATTATGTAAGTCATGCATTATGCGTTGTTCAAGGTTGTTAAAAAAACTGCAGATATGTGCATCTCCAGCACTGAATGTTTTTGTTCTAAATTTCCAAAACTCCAACATCCTTAGAATTCTTCACTGGGAATCTGCACTTGCTGCTGCAACTATGCCGTGCTGTCGGAGTTGGTTCCTCAAAATCTGATTCTTAGATTTCCAATCTTCCACCTTTAAAAAACAATAAGACAAAATAAAACTGTCAATGAGAACAATACAAAAGAGAGAAATAAAGAAAGTGATAAAGACAGATAGGAAAACATGCCAAGTCAAGTCACCTTTATTTACTGTATATTATGCTTTATACGATACAGGGATGCGTTTCCCAAAAGCATCTTAAGCCTCATAGACATCGTAAGTAGATCATTGAGTCCTTTGAGGCAATTGGTTTACGATCAACTTTGACGCCAAAGAAGAAGAAAACGTTGGGGAAGAAAATCTGTGCTTGAACACACCGAAAGGACTACAGGAGACTGTCAACTAGCACATGTGTTCTGCATCAGCATGTCAAGGAGATAACTGTCTATTTAAGCAGATATATATTCATCATTCAAAAAGGGAAAGCAAAACTAAGACTGCAGGTATACAAACCATAAACAGAGCAGTGCTTGCTTACCTAATGAATATCAATCATGCTGATCACGTTTTTTATTTCGCTCGCTCCTGTTATTATGAAAATATTCGCGCATTGAATGCTCCGGTAAGATGACGTAAAATTAGAACAGCCTTCTGTCTGTGCCGTCATGACTTTGCTTGCTTTCATCACTTTTGCTCTTATTCTTGTGTTCGCTAAACTGAACAGCTATAATCAGTTCACTCTAACCGACGGCCCGACACTGATTCTACATGTTGAATCGGACCAAAAAAACCCAACATGGTCTGACTAGAGCCAACGGTGCAGAACAGACCGAAAAAGTCGGTTGACGATCAAAAACTTGGTGTGTCCCTGGCTTTAGGCTCACAATGCTTCTGGGAAATACAGCACAGATTGTTTCAAAGCAGCTGTACAGTAATAAAGAGAAAAATAATGATTAATGATGCAAAAAGAATTCCGTTCAGCTATAAAGCAGCTCTAAAAAATACAATACTCAGTCTTATTATTCATCTGATGTCAGTTCAGCAACTGTGTAAAGTTCATCGATTATGAAGTTCAATTTAGCTATAAAGTATCTCTGCAGAAAACAGTGATGTCAACATTGAGCTCAGTTCAGTTCTCATCCGATAGTGTCTGTCTGTCTATAATGTTGATCTTGGTTTTGCCAATTCATTTTAAATAACAAATTAGGTTTTAAAACCTTTACCTCTGATTCACTTTGAGATTTAACTGGAGTTTAAAATAATTCAGGTTCACTGTAAAATTTAAGCTAGGATCAAAACTATGATTAAAGTGCAACTGAATTATTAGACTAATTTAATCTAGATTTAAAAAATTTAGATTTAAAAGATTTAGCCCTAATTGATGCAAACAAGTAAAATACCTCTTGCCGTAACAGCTGGTTATCCATCCTCAACCTGTCAAGGCTGTTCATTTCATCTCCTAACCGGCTGTTACTTTGTCGCAGCTCCTGAATGTAATCGCAGGCCTTTGATAGAATCCCACCCTTACTCTGTAACACACAACAGCAGATATAATGGGGTTATGTGCAACAAATTTCCATATTCTGTAAAACAGGTTGCATCGTTCAGGTCTTTGGCTTCGTTAAATAAAGAGCCGTTTTACTCAGATCAAAGATGAGCATAACCGATGTCCATCACATATCCAGACTGATATCTAAGCTTTTTTTTTTTCTAACATTAAGATATTTAAATCGAATAAAACATCAACAATAAAAAGAACTAGCTAGGATAGCTGATAACCTTAAAAGTACATAGATATTGCCGTCAGTTCTACTGCCAGTAACACGTTCTCCGACAAGCGGATGCAATGAGACTTTTCCTGTTTGTTCATGTGACGTTTGGCATACAGTAGATATTGCTGATACAATTACATTCACAAAACTAACACATACCTGTCCAGTTTTAGTGGGATCGATGGTGCAGTCTGGAATTGTTTTTGAGAGCTGAACAATCCAGTTGTTAATTTTGTCCCTACGTCTTCGCTCAACTGTAAAGTGGTTTGAAAATAATCACTCAAAAATATATTACACAACAAACTGCATGTAATAATTTTTCAATTGAAAACCTTTACCTTCATTGTGCTGAGCTCGCCTTTTATCATCTCTAGAAGTTCTTGGCCCCTCTGACTTACTGCAAATATTGAAAAAGTGTTACAACTGTTTTTTCTTCTTCTTTGGAACCATAAGCTAATCCATGAATTCAAAATGTAATTGTCTAGGGAGAAACAATGAGTTGTATTAGCAACACTTCAAAGTTTGGAAATACAACTTACAACAGATATCCATTACTTTTTATTCATTTTACAAAAAACAGTAGCTTGAATACCTCTGCACCCAACTACTAGAATATGGAAATAACTTTTACTGTATCTTCTGATCGCACTACAAAAAAGTGATGTTCTTCCTCAGTATATTTGTCTTCCAGTTGTTTGCATTTACTGGAGACATAAAATATGAAGTCTTGTTTTCTGTAAAACTTTTTGTTTTAAGCATTAACTTAATTTTGTTACATTTTTTAAGACTTCATTTTACATTTGGATCTCGAGTAACTGTATTTTGATTTTAAGATGTTTTGATATTTGTACTGGAAAACAGGATAAAAATACTGAGGAAGATATTGAGTCTCATTCACAAATTTGTGCGTGAAATCTGTGTACGAACCACGAAGATGGTTTGGCCGTGTTTTACGCAAATGACTAACCTCATCCACGCGCCGCTCATTTAAAAAACCTCCAAATTCACTAACATTAGAACGAGATTAAGAACAAATGCATGTGCGTACGCATGTGTTGTGAATTAGGCAGAGATTTTTCGTGAGAAGGTCTCCTGTGCGTACAAATACGAAATCATCCACGCAATTATTAGTGAATGAGACCCATTCATTTTTTGCAATGCATGCAACATGTAATGCTATGACTTGACTGCTCTGATTTAAGACCTTTTTAAGGAGTTAATTTGTGTAAGGGCGAGGTAAGAATTTTTAAGACCCACAAACACCCTGTCATACGTTTATTAACAGCTCAATTACACTATATTTTTAACATTTAATATAAAATAGAATAATGGCATGCTTAGACTGATATCAAAATAATAAATTGAGTTTATTATTTTTATTTTGTATTATTGTTTGTGGTCACTGTGGTCAATAAAGATAGCGAAACAGCAATAACTGAAAAGAGAAATGTATTAAACGACTGAGTGCTTTTAAGAGGCTGGAAAAGGCAACATTACGCATTGTAAGGTTGTGTACGAGGTGCAATAGACCTCTGGTTGGCTCCAGTAAGGACCTCCTGCGGAGACATCATAACATACAACTGACCTAAAGCAGGAGCAAAAAAAAAAATATATATATATAAATATAAAAAAAAATCCAGGCTGCTTTGCAACAGAACTGTTGCATTGTTGTGTATTCATGCAAATAACAGAAATTGAAAAGGGTTTAATGATGTACCTGCAGGAGCACTCTGACTAAGCAGAGCATCTGAGGCCTGAACACTGGTCACCATTGTGCCTGCTGCAGCGTCTGAAATAGTAGCAGGATAATACGTGTAATGGGTTTCTGTGCCATCTCCATCTAAGCCTTCTGAATGAGAGAAAACCGCCTGAAAAACATATTTAAATGAAGTTAGTTGTTATCAGATTTATTTATATGATCTATTTCAGGTAAAATAATAAAGGCTTTTCCACCTGTGTGACAGGCTGTGTTGTACCCGGAAACCCAGTAACTACACTAACAGCTGTTGCACCATCAGTTTGAGCTTCCAGCTGTCCATCTGCGACCTGGATTACTCGATATGTAACCTGAAGAAAATTAAGATGGAAAATTATGTTATGCAATATAATCTTTCAGAACTACACTCGTCTGTACATACTACCTAAAGTGAAAAAAGAGAGATCACAGCTAAATCTTTCTGAATCGTGCATCAGAAAGAACATTCTATGGGAAGAATTTAGGTTGGTTTAAACCTGGTATTAACATCTGTCTGGTATGGACAATGGTATTTTACAAATCAATTTGTAAAATTGTTCTCCAAAAGGACTCAAAAGGTCATGACTGTGGTATGTTTGAGAGCAAAAGTGAGTCTGTCTTTCTTGACTGACCACTTGTGATCAGATGACTGAGACGAATGTCACTACCAGGAGTAAACTGGACCTAAGTTCTTACTCAGGTTTGAATATAACCCTTCCTCCCCATCTCCTACCTGCCCTGAGGGAGGGTACAGCTCCCCTACCTGCCCCCCAGCTCCCTCTGTCTTGAAGAGGTATTTAATCGGCTGCTCCGAGGAAAACGTAGATGCAGACTGAATAGTTGTGATTGCCGATGGGTCCTCTGCAGTAGCAACTGCCCCTGAGAAAAGAAACCACACACATCAATTCTCAAAATATCTTTTTTTAAAACTGACATTACTGCATTGCTTAATCTGATAATACCTTCTTCAATGACTGGAACATTGACATCAGGTTCAGAACTTTTCTGTTGTCTGAAAACAATATTTTAGATCATAGTGTAGTTATAGTGCAGCACATATTCAGATCATTTCTAATCAGTGACAGTAATACTTGCTACTAACCCTTTCATATCCACAGTCAGTATGTAACAGGAAAAAGTGCCTTTAAGTTAGCAGCTACTCCTTGTTGCCTGATAAAATCTGTAATGGAGCCAATAGAGAAAAACAACTATTTGAACGTTAGCACCAAGTTACTAGTGATTATACAGATAACCATTATTAACAGAACTGGCCAACAGGAGTCACTCCTTGCATTATTACGCTGGTTGAGTATTACAAGGTAAATATTTTATTATAAAATTAATAAATATTATATTGCAGGAAATAGGCTAACAAAAAATCTGCACACAAAGAGATTTATAAGCCATATCAATGGACATTATAGACTCAGTTCAAAGGATAGCTAGCTAGCTCCTAGAGCTATCTGGAAAGCATAGACAAATAACGAAGCGTGTTTTAAATGAGCCGCGAACAAGAATAAATAATTTGCATCTACATATAGCCATCATAAAATTGGTGTTGAAATAATGAAAAGAAACATGGGATTTAATTTACATCTCACCGTTTACTGTTTCTCCTGTCGTCTTGTTTACAAGAGGGCAACCGAGCGGTTCGGTTTCTGCGCATGCGCACATAATCAGGTCCAACACAGGAGGACATCTTCGTCGATTGAAACTAGTGCTGCGTTCCAGTCAGTGGTGTAGTCTACGTGATACGCAGGTATACGCCGTATACCCACTAGAAAATGTCAAGGATTTCCGTATGCCCACTAGGAAATGTCAAAGATCTCCGTATACCCTCTTTAAAAAGCGTGAGGATTCGTAACAAGATCGTTTTGTGAAAGACCTTTCATTCATAAATTCACCCCGCAGCCCGCCCGCCGTGACGTCTTTGTTTGCGCAGCGACACGGATCGAATCGCGGAATCCAGCAACAAATGTAACTTATCTGTAAAGTGTAACGTCACGCAATTTGGCCATTTTTGAATGAACAAATCAAAAGTAATGATACAATGAATCAAATCTCGATATGTACTAAGTGTATATGAATATTAAAGCATGTTCTGCGTGTTTCTGTGAATGAGCGCTCAATGTGTGCTCTACTACACACTGAAGCGCGCGTGACACGTGACGCGCTGTGTTTTCAGCGTCTATGAGGAGGACATGCACACATTTGAACTTCATCGCAGAGCTTTTATGAGAGTCACATCACAAGAATTTTACCATTTCATTTGATAAAACTATCGTCATTCATTCGTATCATATACACACACTCACAAACTAGTCTTCATGACAACCTGTCAAAATCAAAGTTTTGTATAACTTGATGAAAATATAACAGAAATATATTACTATTGCACAGTAGAGTATACTTCAAGTAGGCCTAATAATAATAATAATAATAGTTTATTAAAACACACAGAAGCTCAAATGTCTTTAATTTACAACCCACCAAAATAAAAGTTTGTAGAGAGAAATAAAGTAACTCGAGGGAATTATGAAAGAAATTGCATAGTAAGATGTACTTTTTAAAATAATAATAATCAAATCTATTAAAACATAATTTTAAAGGAATATCACACACGTTTTTAAAAAGTAAATATTTATTTGTGCTTATAATGTTTAAGTCTTTTAATTGTCAGCTGATAAAACCTGTGCTTCAGGGACCATATTCATATAACATCTAAGGCTAAATGTAGCTCTTTACTGGCTTAGTTAGATGGCGATTAACACTAAACAGTAGAAAATTGGGTGGTGGTGGCGGTGGCGGCGGGGCGGCGGGGGGGCGGGTTGGGGGTTGGGGGGGGGGGATTTGGTTGGGCTGGTATATCACAGTATACTCACTACAAAAAACTAGACTACACCACTGGTTCCAGTAGCCTAGAAATCTAGACGCACCCTAGCGGCAGCGAAAATTATTTCGCAGCCAGTGTGGTCTAGTAACTCTCCATAGGCTTTTGAGCTGTAAAAACCAAAAACTGGTCAGGCCAATCACATCGTGTATAGAGTCGGCGGGCGGGCTTAACACAATGACGGCACAGTTCATGACGTTCCGCGTGATTTCCATAGGTGATTTTCCTGCTACTTGAAAACAATGAAGATGCAGCGGTCTTTCGAATCGGCTTTGGCCGCGACTCTGGAGGACTTGGAGTTAAGAGAACGTCACTTAAGTCATTCTTAAAAAAGGAAGATGTGTTCGGAGTTTTACCGACCTGATACGGCAAAAGTTTAATATATCAATTAGCTCCACTGGTGGAAAAACGCATGGGACTCACTCATCCACAACCGTTCGTTGCTCTGGTTGGTTGTAGCGCTATCCTATTGCGTGCAGAGGGATTTTGAAAGGTAACCGTTTATCCCGCCCCTCGGATTGAGGTATGTAAATGGAGAGTTCCCAGACCTAACATCTTGATGTAGGTCTGGCATGCCATAGCGTTCCAGTCGAAAATTATGGAAAATTGTCATGCCCTTCACTCGCTAACTTCCCTCCATCTCGTTCACTCGGATGTACGTCATTGCTTACGTGCCCACTACTGGCTACTTGGAATCAGCTATGGAGTTGATTTTTTTTTTTTTTTTTTTTGAATTTGTTTAATGCAGCATCCAAATGTATGTAGATGTGTTGTTTGGGTTGTTTTAAATAAAAAAAAATATCATCGTGGTGATATGACGAGATCTGCGGCTATGTCACAATCGTGTTGCATTGTGGTATATGGAGCTGCCTGAAGTGTACAGGGCTGCGTTCCAGTCCACTTTTAGGCCCTGTCCCAAATGGCACACTCCGGACTTGTGGACTTCCTCAGAGTGACATCATGTAGTGCAGACCTATAGGGCCCTTAGCGCAAGTCCGCGAGGGCGCATTGAGAGGTATTTTTGGGACAGACTCGATCGTCACGCCGGAAACAGGAAGACGGTCTGATTGTTGTTATGGACAGGAGCTACAGGTTCGGGGAAATATGCTGCCTATTGTTGTTGTGTTTATATATGACTCAGTAAAGCCCTGACATTCTGTTCTATTTATTTAATGAATCATAATGCGATCGTATTATTCAGCTCGCTATTATTAGCCTGTGTTTGAGACATCAACCACTGGCCGATGATCATAATGTTTGTTTGTATAAACTTGTCATAAAAACTGTAATGATAATTACACTTAAATATTTACTTCTCAGCCATGTTAACAATTGTCCGTGAGCGAAATCTCCTCCCATCCGTTGTCTGATTGGCCTTTCGCAAGGATTCCTGGGTAGTTAAAGTGCGTGGAGCCTGCATCTATGCGGGCTTCGCGGAAGGCCGCTTCAAGGGTACAAAGGGGGCGCTGCTGAGCACACTTCAGAGCGTTAAAATGCTGAATGGGACAGCCTACGTATACTCGGCGAGCACGCGCAATTTAAGTCCACGAGACCGAAAGTCCGCATGAAGTGCGCCATTTGGGACAGGGCCTTAGACACGCACTTGCGAACTTCCCTAAGCACTTTCCCTCGGGGGAATCCCTGCCGCCATTTTGAAGTGCGTTCCACTTCGTGAAGTGGACAAGGGAAGTTTATATGGACAGACACTTGTTCCCTCGATTTTGTCCGAGGGAGCGAGTCTACTTCAAATGTACACTTCAGGCAGCTCCATATTATATACCACAATGCAACACGATTGTGACGTCACCGCAGATCTCGTCTAATCACCACCACCACAAACAACTCTGATATATTAATTATATATATATTTAATTTAAAGCAACCCAAACACACCTATATACATTTGGATGCTGCATTAAACAAATTCTTAAAGGAAATTTTAAAAAAAATAATAAATCAACTCCATGGCTGATTCCAAGTGATCAAGGGCTTAGGACGTTCCAATTCAGCCAATTCAGTTTCCGCCAGTAGTGGGCACTCGTGCAACATAAGCAATGACGTACATCCAAGTGAACAAGACGAAGGGAAGTTAGCAAGTGAAGGGCATGACAATTTTGGACTGGAACGCAGCCCATGAAGTAGACTCGCTCCAGGGAGTGAGGTTCTGTCCATACAAACTTCCCTCGTCCACTTCACGAAGTGGAACGCACTTTAAAATGGCGGCAGGGATTCCCCCGAGGGGAAGTGCTTAGGGAAGTTCGCAAGTGCGTGTCTAAAAGTGGACTGGAACGCAGCATAGATATAGCACAACTTGAACTGTAAACCTGGGGAATCATTTATAACCATTGCATACGCAAAAAAACAGGCCATGAAAGAGGCGTACCCCACTTCTGACGCATAAGTTGTGATTTTATAAAAACAAACTTGACGGGAAAATTTGCGCACCTGCACGCAAACTCTGACCCATGCATACGAACGGTTTGGAGACGGAGCAGTTTGGCGACACCGATGGGGGTTAATGTTAAGTTAAATGGAGTTAAATGTCTTCTCCAATAGAATCTGTCTGCAGCCTGCAAGACTTCAAGTTACGCCCACTTCAAGTTACGCCCACTTCAAGTTGCTCACGGTTTTTGTTTTTTTCGACTTAAAGCACCGCTACACAGACCCGTCGGTGTATGACATGATCAAAGTAGCCTACCGCCAGAGCGATGAGAGAACAGACAGTTCCGCATGCTTTTGAATCGCTCTCGCACGTGTTTAACATAAACTGAACATACTATAGAGTTGATTAAACTGACTCTTAGCTGTTCAAGAACCGAAATGCTTGTTTTGGTAAAGCAAGCTGCAATCTGCATAAGTGCCAGGGACAGGGTACTGATAATGCACTAGCGGAGCCAGGATTTTGATTGTGGGTGGGCCTCCAGAAAACTGGACGAGCCAGTTAAAATAAGCCAAAAAAACCTGGTTCCCCTTCAGCTCCGTTTCAGTGCTTTTCTGCGGCACTGAGGACAGCGACTCAGTAGCTACCTGTGTGGCTCTTGTGTCGCTGTCCTCAGCTCAGTGCTGAAGCGGACAAAGACATACACCTTGGCAGTAAGCCTAACTTCAATTATCTCTCGAGCTTGCTTGAAAAGCTTGCGCGCCAATGTCATTCATTTCATTGGATCATTTGCTGGTGACGATGCAGCCTGTGGGCAGGCTTAACAGTCCACACGTGGGGTAGAAGCTGCTGAAGCTTTCACTCAAAGCTT